CAGGCGTCGCGAGTGAAAGACGCGTCGACTTCCGATAGTGTGCGAGAGGACATGGACGAATCGGCAGATTCAGAAGGCGATGCAACGGTTCAGGAAAGAAGACCGGAAACGGGGCCGCTGCGATCGGAAGAATCTGACGATCACGTGTCACGTGAATTAGCATTGGTTCAAAGAGAGAGAGAGTTGATCGAGAGGGAGCGACAACTGCTACAACGGGAACGCGAGATGGCGCGTAGCGTTTCCGCATCGAGTAACGCTGCCTCGGCGAGCGGTGGTGTTCGTAACCTCAAAGATCTCTTACCCGAATTTGATGCTACCGAGAATACATTCTGGAGATGGAAACATCAGCTAGAGTTGTTGAGAAACTCTTATCAACTAGATGATAATTCTGCAAGAATTTTAATAAGCTCAAGATTGAGAGGACGAGCTCTCACCTGGTTTTATTCCAAAGCGGAACACCTGATGCTGAGTATCGAAGATTTGTTGGGAGAAATGACGCGCATGTTTGACCTGCGCCCTGGCAAATTATCTCTCCGCAAGGAATTTGAAGCCCGTGCATGGAAAACGGCCGAACCATTTTGTGATTATTATCACGACAAAATAATTCTTGCTAATCGAGTGCCAATAGACGAAGACGAACTTCTCGATTACCTCATTGAGGGTATTACTGATATACGCTTACAAAACCAGGCGCGTATAATGAATTTTAAGTCAAAAACGATGTTATTAGAGGCCTTCGAGAACGTCAGCTTAGAGAACAAACGGTATAGCGACCCGAAGTTGAAGAAGACCGGCCCACAATCGTCTGCAAAAACGGAGTCCGCGAAAGCGAAGCCGACGAGGTGCTACAAGTGCCGCGAGACTGGACACATCGCTACACACTGCAAGAATCCGTTGTCAGCGGAGAAGAGAACATGTTTCGTGTGCGGTTCAACAGAACACCTGGCGAGAAGTTGCCCTGAGCGCAAGCAAGCCACTGTGTCTGAAGTAAAAGAAAAATCTGCACAATCAACATCAACAAACATTATAGCGATGGAACAAAATAGTGAACTCCCGAGACCTTACTTGATCAATGTAAAAATTAGTTCTAGTGATAAGAACGACAGCGTAGATACCTTTACGATAGATGCGATAATCGATTCTGGCTCGCCTATTAGTCTAGTTCGCGATAGTGTTGTTAGTGCCGCGAGTTGTAATCCGGTGAATGAAGACACTAGTCGATTTTGTGGAATCAACGGTTCACGTCTTAAGATTTTACGTATATTTTATGGCAATGTCGAGGTACAGAGCGTGTGCACAAAAATAAAATTTTATACGGTACCCAATGATACGATTGCATTTAGGATGCTGCTAGGCAGAGACTTTTTAGCTTGCCCCCCTTTGCGTATTACTCTTGGGGATACGGTCGAAATCGAGAGCGTGTGCGAATCAAATAGCGAACAAGTATTGAACATTGCTGTGAGTGAACATGTAGATAATGTATGTGACGAGTTACGGATTAATCCCGCTGTAGATCGAGACGTCTGTAATCGAGTATGCGACATCTACGAGTCTTGTTATCTTCGAAATTTCCAGTTAAAGAAACATGAGCCTGACTTCGAGATGAATATCGTTTTAAAACACGATCAGCCGATAACTTCGCGTCCGCGTAGACTCTCTTTTGCTGATAAAGAAGTGTTACAAAAAATCCTAGACAGGCTAATAAAAGAAAATATTATTCGCCCGAGTAATTCGGCATACGCGAGTCCAATCGTGTTGGTAAGAAAGAAGACGGGTGAACCCCGACTTTGTGTTGATTTTCGTGAAATAAACAAAATAACAGTACGCGATAATTTTCCAACCGAGCTCATAGATGATAACATTGATCGTTTGAAAGATAAAAGATACTTTTCCGTGTTAGACTTACGAGACGGATTCCATCACGTCAAGATGAGTGCAACATCGATAAAATTCACGTCGTTCGTAACTCCGCTAGGACAATATGAGTACTTACGAATGCCCTTTGGATTAACAAATGCGCCGCGTATATTTCAAAGATTTATACATAATATATTTAATAAGTTAATCAGAGAGCATAAAATATTATTGTATCTTGACGATATTTTGATCGCTACGAGTAGTATAGATGAACACTTAGCAATTTTGTCAGAATTATTTGAGTTAGCTGGTAAGAGTCAATTACAATTTCGCGTAGACAAATGCTATTTTCTGCAAACAGAAATAAAATATCTTGGATATTGTGTGAATCAGCATGGAATAAGACCGAGCGACGAAAACATCGAGTCAGTATTAAACTACCCAGTACCGAGAAATGCCGGAGAGGTCCGTCGGTTTGTCGGTCTTGCGAGCTATTTTCGTAGATTCGTCCCTAATTTTTCTCTACTGGCAAAACCATTGTACGACTTGAACAAAAAGGATGCTTCATTTGCTTTTGGTGTCGCGGAGCATGAGGCGTTTGAGACATTGAAACGTCATTTAGCTAGTAGACCGGTATTAGCGATTTATTCGCCCCACGCAGATACCGAGTTACACTGTGATGCGAGCGCGAGCGGTTACGGTGGTATTCTACTCCAAAAACAGAGCGAGGGCGCGTGGAAGCCTATTTCTTTCTGGAGCCAGCGAACTACACCCACCGAGGCAAAATATCACAGTTATGAGCTTGAGTGCCTCGCGGTGGTATATGCGTTGAAGCGATTTCATATTTATCTAGCTGGACAGAAATTTAAAATTGTTACGGATTGCGACAGTTTTCGCCTCACGCTAAACAAAAAAGATATTAATCCGCGAATATCTCGTTGGGCCTTGTTCTTACAAAACTATAATTATGAGATAGAGCATCGACCTGGGAAACGAATGGCTCATGTCGTCGCGCTGAGCCGATGCCACAGTGTATTAGTACTCGAGGGTAGCACGTTTGAACGAACGCTGTCTATTTGCCAAGACAGAGATGCCGAGATTCTAAAAATTCGAGAAAGACTTGAAGAGGGTGAAGTGAAACATTACGAATTGCGTGACGGTTTAGTGTATAGGAAAGATAATGATAAGAAATTATTATTCTTTGTACCTCGTTCAATGGAAACTAATGTAATTAGAACATGTCATGACGATATTGGACATGTAGGCGTTGACAAAACTGTTAATAATATCTTAAAGGTTTATTGGTTCCCGAGATTGCGAGAGAAAGTAAAAGAGCACATCGCTAATTGTCTTCGATGTATCGAGTTTTCGCCGATAAGCGGTAAAGCAGAAGGATTTTTACATAACGTACCGAAAGAGAAATTACCATTTATGACGATTCATATAGATCACCTTGGTCCGTTAGAGAAAACTGCTAAAAACTACAGGCATATACTCATTATTATCGATGCATTTACTAAGTTCACTCGGACGTATCCCTGTAAGTCTACTACGACGGATGAATCAATAAAATGTTTGCGTGACTACTTCCGTGCGTATAGCAAGCCAAAGCGTCTAATCTCAGACAGAGGTACGTGTTTCACATCTGACGCATTTAAGGAGTTTTTGAGAAGTGAAGATATTCAACATGTCCTTATTGCAGTGAGTACACCCAGAGCTAATGGTCAAGTGGAGCGTTTTAATAGGACCATTGCTCCAATGTTGGCAAAGCTAAGCGAAACTCCCTCCAAATGGGATCGGGTCTTAAATGATGTCGAGTATTCTTTAAATAATACCGTGTGTCGAGCCACTGGTAAAACCCCTTCGCAATTGTTGTTCGGAGTTGATCAAAAGGGAAAAGCTAATGACTCTTTGCGTGAAATACTTAACCCAGATGTGAATCGCGACCTTGAAGAGATTCGAAATCATGCGTCTGCGAATATCGAAGCGCTACAACTCCAGAACGAGAAGCGATACAATTTGCGAAGAAAAGCTGCGCGTGAATATAAAGTGGGCGATTATATCGAGATAAGAAATATCGAAACTACACCCGGCATAAACAAAAAGCTGCTGCCTAAATTCAAAGGGCCCTATATTGTAAAAGCAGTTCTCGATCACGATCGTTATGTTGTTTCTGACATCGATGGGTTCCAGCTAACCCAGAGACCGTATACAAGTATAGTCGCGCCCGACCAAATGAGGCCTTATATTCACTCATGATTAATCGCATATGTTTTAGGTGTAAGTTTTGTATTCTGTATGTTATAGTATAAGTTCCGATTTACGTGTGTTGTAGCAATAGTTTTAGTTATTAAGTGCACAAGGCTAATGTTTTTTTTATTTTGTTTGACCGAGACGGTCAAAAGTCAGAATGGCCGAACTGTAGGCATTTTCTTTGTATTAGTTATTTTATCTTTCGTTACCGGGTCTGTGCCCGCCTTTTTCTTCCGCGTGAGTATTGTTATGATCACGTGAGATGGGGCCGCGAGTCAGTCGTGCGACAAACAAGGAACAGTCGAGTCGCTCACGGATCCTAAGAAATAAAGCATTAAGAACGCCCTGAATATTGTAGTGTACGAATTGTAAACTGAGTGCCTACACTTCAGACTACTTTTAATCAGGCGCTATTCAAGGCTGGGAAAAGATCATTTCTGACATGGAATTTCTGGCATGGCTAGATAGTACAATATCAGAACTAGCCACACCACGGCTAGATAGCACTATACTAGAGCTAGCTAACGCCTGACTAGTCGATTAAGTCGGGTATCAGACTGGAAGAATGTGATGATTTTGTGTCTGGCGCTAGTCTGTATGCCATACTAGCTCCTTATCAGGCAGTGGGGCAAGTAAGTTAGCGCCAGCCTAGCACCATGGTGATTTTTCTATCAGAGTATAATAATAACGACATTGATATTATGAAAATTATGTCACATGTAGAAGCACGGTATGTAATATGGCAAATAAATAGCAAAGTGTCGGCTATATGGTTAGGTCTTTCGCGTGCCACATGCGCGACAGAAATTGAGTTTCCGTGCTGATAAGATTGATAAGGTCTCAAATGGTGGGATCGCAGCCCGGGCTCGTTTACGCCCAAAGCATCGACACGTTCAGTTGATAACTCTCGCTTAAACGCGTTGCCACGCAAGCTGTCATTCGTGCCGCTTAATTATTCATTATAGCGTGATTGTGCGCACCAACCAGTTTTGATTAAGAAATAATAATGCCTGGTAAGCAGTGATATTGAATATCGTAAAATCTAGGTTTAGAAATAAGTGGATGAAAATGCGATTACATCGTGTGCGTATAAAGTTTATTTTATTTTGATCTTGATTAAAGAAAAAAGATATGTCAATTACGAAACATTATCTGTCAAAAAATGTAACAATAATCGTAAAATGTTGATTTCTTCTTGAATATTTTTTTCACTCTTTTTTAAATTTGAGGATTGTATGATAAGGAATTATATACATATTTCAAGATCTGTCATGATTTTATAATTACAACAATAATTTTGCCACGGTGTATCTTTTTTTTTTCATTTATTTATTAAGAAAAATAGGTCGACAATTATGATAAATTATAGAAATATGTTACATTTTATTGTTTTAATTTTTTTATGATAGTGAAGAAAATATCTAAATCTCTTAATGACGAGTGTGAACAATAGAGTCAACAATTATGTAACTGACTTGCGAGAATCGATGGATTTGATAAGCGGCGTGATAATTCATCGAAGTGTTTTTATCAACGTTGCAATCGCATCGCGGTTTCGCGGAAATAGCGATCACACGTACGAATATTCACAGGATACAGATGGGTCAGATGGCCGACGTCCTACGCCGATTCTCACATGCTTATCACCATCGGTAGGGATCTGGACGGCCTGAATCTCGTTGTCGGGCGCGCCATGCACGCCGGTGACATGCTGCCGGCGAAAGTGAAGCCGGAGCACAACGTTGCTTACGTATGTTACGGGGGCATCGAGCACACGAAGCACAACTTCGAGGTATATATATGTTTAATTCGCCGTCGCGAGAACTGAGAAATTTAATCAGCGGTTTCATTTGTCACCGAACGTCGACATAATCAGAATCCCGAGCGGCATATCGGCATGTTTCTATTGCAATTATGCGAAATGAACAATCGAATGCAATATGCGATACACAATCGTATTAATATTAACGCTAATTATTTTGATACTTTTGCAATTTAATCAATTCGCAATTATGCAACGCGCGTTGCACTTTTGCGCTTCTGCTTTCGCATAGACGATGCAGACGTAATCGTTTCATAACGCTATCGTGTTTCTTCCGTTAATAATCTTTCCGTTAAGCGAATTAGTTTTGCGCGAAAGCTTACGCAACGGACACTTCATCTCGACTCTCTCGGCGCATTTTGTTTCGACGATAAAGATAAGATTACGTGGCACCAGCGGTGCGAGTTAATCATAGATATTTACACGACGATAACCCAGAAACGATTGAACATACATTATTATTCCAATGAATTTTCCGCTTCTCCGTATTTTCGTATCATTCTATATTCGCTATTTTCTGAAACCAGGACAAACCCGAGATATCTTGCATACGCGCGAATCGATACGGATAATTTTGCCAATAGCTATGATAGCATAACAATCAGTGTATTCCTTCGCTTCGTCGAAATAGCGATGATATAACTTCCGACAATTTTCCGAAGATGTCGGATAAGCCGGGGATAGCGAAGGTACAGCGGGACATCAAATGCGGTATTGATCGGCGGGTTTCGACGCGGTATCGAAGCGTGTCCCTACGAGTCCGCATTAGACGAACCCTCTGTTTGCCGTGGCGTGCACCCGATCTCTCTCGCTCGTTCGAATCAATTTCTTTCGGTTCGACTTATGGCCGCGCGCGATCGCCCGCGGCTTAATCTGTTTGCCTTCGCGGGCGGGATCGAGAGGGGAAGCGCGAAGTGTACCGCTTCGTTGGGCGATTCTAGTCCTCCACCGAGCGAGATCGGCGCTAGTATAATCCGAGACACGCTTTCTTGGTACCTTAGGTACTGATGCCCGCCCATTTCAACTGGATCCGATCGGGTCACGGTCACGTACCCGAACACGCGGTGGAGGCTGGTAGAACCTCGAACGGGGAGATGCTCTACGTCGGACGTACTTTTCACAATGGTATATCTTGCGTAGGAAAGGTACGCTAAGATCGGAGTCAAAGTCTGATCCGATGCTCGACGGCATCGTTGATTCAGCACTTGTGCGAACGGTCACGGATATATTTCCTGTTTGGCAGGTTCAAAGGAGTCACGGAGTCCTCTACATTCCGTTCGACGGCAAGGAAATACCGTGCAAGGAGTACGAAGTTTTGGTACAGCAATGATTTCTCTTTCCACGGTTGCATTTAAAAATAGATAACTTTCATTTCTATGCGCTGAGAGAAAAGAATAATTGCAGTAACCATAATCTACAGTGTTTTGGCGCCAACCATATTTTTATAGGTATTTTAACTATACGGTTGTATGATTGGCAATATTATACGTATAAGATTATTATTGATAGCACATTATAATAACAATTCCTGTAAAAATGGGTATTCTTACTATAATTATAGAGTCCCATGTAATTATAGTTCCAAATATTACATACTTTTCTCTCAATGTGCCAAATTATTGAATAATAAGATTATCTCTCAATCGAAAAAATTCTTTCTACACAAAAATCAATGTTCTGGGTTCGTACATTTCACATCGTACTGACAGATGAAAAATGTGTATAATTAAAATATTCCATCCAGTATAATTTCATTTTTTTTTATTTATTTGTATGCGTTGTAACGAAATATGAACCAAAATTGCATCGCAACTGTGTTTCAAATCGTATCGTCGCATCAATTTATGAGATTTTGCCTAGAAGTTAGATTAAAATTTTACGAAGTTGGCGGCTGAGAATATCGCGTTCTTATCTACCCTTACTTAAGTTCTATTAGTATGCAGGGAAAAGTAATTTATATTTCGGCCTTTAATGCGCGCGCGGAAGGAAAGAGCATAACGAGCCGTGCCAGACCATGCGACGATCAGCAATGGCTTGCACGCGCCCTTTTCTCATAGCCTGAATCGTAACTACGGGCGCGTTACGGCCGAATCACGATTCGTCATGTCATTCTCTCGGGTCTTTCGGTTTTATTCTACGGTGCCGGTGAGAACGCGAGCATCGAATGATTCAGCGATACGTAAAAGCGTGAGTCAGAATACCATCATTTTTGCTGGAATTTTATAACAGGCTCATCTCGCACTGTCGCGATTTTTAATGTAAAGACATGATAAATACTTTAATTAAACTTTAACTTATTTTATCTACAGATAAGATTTCGATTATAGATTTAACACAAAGCAAAATTTAAAGAGGGGAATAATATGATTTAAACAAAATAATTGCATTTGTCGCAAGCACGAAAAGGTAATTCGATTTTAATATTAATATTGAGAAGAGTTTTATTAAATATAAAAAATAATAAATTGCTCGCAAAGACCATTTTCAGCCCAAGTTTAAAATAACGCAGCATAAAATACGATTATTATTTCATATATAATTATGCTATTATTTCTGACAAATTATTATTAATATTTTATTTGAACAAAATTTATTTTATCCCAATTCACTCATCGACACTGAGTGTACCTTCTCGTACACTCTGTATAACTACGGAGTTACTCGAGTCAATTATCACACATTAACTTAATCACGAGGGTGAGGACACAGCGGCTCCCTGTTTTCTCATTGGTGGCCATTCAATTTTCACGGCTCCACGGCTAAGATCGCTCGAAATAGATCCCAGATGCAAATAAATATATCTACCGTGCGGAGGGGAAATTAGAAGGGTAAACGATCGCAATGCAACCAGTGGTCGTTTTCTGCTGGTACACCCGATAGGTGGTGGGCACGTGGCCAGTTCGCTCCTTCATTTCTACTTCCTTCTCTCTCGGTTTTTCTTTCCCCCCTTTCTCCACTTATTGTTCCAGGTCTGATGCCTCGAAGCGGAATTGTCAAAGGAGAGGGACGGGCGGTGTAAGGGGGCGGAGGGGCGGGGGGGAAGGGCTACGCTATTTAATATTTTGATTGAGGAAAAGCGCAGGGGAGGGGAGGCTTGCCCACGTGCGGCCGATCGTCCCCTTTTGATTAATTTCGGCTCGGATCGACTGGCACGAATGAGGATGGCGCTCGACAAAGGAGCTCGAGGGGGCGAGCACGAGCGAGGAGAGAACACAAAAAAAATGGCAACAGCTGGCACGGCGAAACCAGAATCGGCGGACAATGCCGCCTAGATCGAGGGTGAGGCACCCCTCTCGCACCGTCGTTACCGACGCGAGGAGGACGTTCGACACGCGCGCGATCATCCTTGCGTAATATGCGCGTTTGTTCCAATTGCGGAGGACGCGCGAAAGGGGAGCGACACTATTAGGCCGGCGGCGGTGTTCATTAAATCGGTCGGAGAAAATTTTCAATGAACGATAGAGCAACGATGTGGCATATTTGGTGATGTTCGAACTTCGAGAGTGTATTTTACAAAAGATTTAATAGAGAATGATTCTGAAACGAGAATTGGGACGTCATCTTTTCTCGAGTTTGCAATTTTAAAAATTAACTTTTTAAGGAAAAAAAGATTAGTGAATAAAATTGAACCTCGTATGTAGATCGCCGGATGTACATCCGGTTTTAATATTTTATCAATAATCGACTGTGCCTAACGTTTCCAAGATAAAAAGAGTTCTCCGAGTTTACTTTTTGCGTTATCGCATCGGTTTACGAGATATCGATATGGAGATAAGCGGATAGGGACTTTACATGCAAAATAAAAGGCTTCGGCGCCGATCGTTTTCACGTCCGTCTGCAGTTTTCATCGTTCCCATCGAAACTCCTTTACGCTGTCGGTGGTCTTTCTCCTTTTTTTTTTCCTTTTCCACTCGCGTCTACGGCCTGGACAACATTGCTGACGCGCATCGTCGATACCGGCTCGATAAATCCGCGCTTATTGCGGTTTACGTCAATCGTATCGGTCGTCACATCGTCCAAAGGCAACAAGGGGAAACGAGTTATAGAAATATCCACTCATAATATATATTGTTGTTGTTCGGCGTTGCTAGAAGTTCTCGCACGTCCTTGGAAAGTACATTATCAGGAGTGTACTTCTTAGAAAAGTTAGTAGCGAATATTTCTCGGGCGAGAATTTGACCGCAAACGTTGACTCCAATTTCTGAAACGTATAATATATTAATATAAAAAAACACGACTCATTAATCTGTTATAAAATTTGCAATTATAAATTATTATTATCTATTAAATTTATATATATATATATATATTTTTTTTATTTATTTTAGATTAGAATAGAAAAAAGCACGCCTCACTGATTATTATAAAGCCTAAAAATTGTAGTTACAAATTTGCTACAATTACTTGGAAAGTTACAATTTGTATTTTGATAGCAGAGATTGAAATAAAGTGTTATCGCGGGGACGCGTTCAATCTGATTTGTTCGTGTGACGTTTCGCACGTCGAAAGTACTATTGCAAGTGCGACGCTTATTTTATTTAGGCAAATCCGCTTTCTGGAAGCTGTGCGAGTCTTCTACGAGGCGACGTAGCCACCCATATGGCGCGACAGATACGCCGAGCAGAACCAGAATTGGGATCGTCAGGTTCGAGAGCGAGGCGGGAAAGAGAGAAAGAGAGAGGACAGCTGCTCTCTCCCCGCTGCGTCGAGAGCGTTGCAGCTGCTGCTTCGAGGATCCACTAATTCCGCGGACGAGCCTATGGCCGAACGATACATACGAGACTGCAGTCGCAACTGGTTTCGACACGTCGCGCAATAATAAAGTCCCGTTTTATCGAGTGGAACGTTAAAGGAGTCAGCGACAGTTACCGCTTTCTGATACATCGACATCCATGAATATGAGCAAAACCGAACGCCTGTGATTCCCATCTATGTCAAATGGCTGTGAATTCGTTTGTGAAATATTATTTATTTTATTTCAAGAGGTAAAGCGATGAATTTCAACGCCAGGAAATTATCTTCTTTTCATAATCCCGCCATAATAATCATGTGCATTTAATCCGTTTGAAAGATTGAATAAGGCGTTTCGCGCGAGCACAGCGGATGATGCAATAAATTGTAATAAATTAAATCATTCTCGATCAGATCCGCGTAATTGAAATGCGTTTCGTTCCGTCAGTTGGGTGGAAGTCAATTTTCGAAAATCTTGATGTACGGTTAGCTTCGAGCGCTTCGTTGCTCTCTGCTCTAATCTGATTACGCTGCACTACCGATACTAATCAATTTACTAAACGACAGAGCGCGCATTTCCCATTTACAGACTACATCGAACCGCGTCGGACGAACGTGGGTGGAGCTGGGGGAGGGGATGAGCGTGCAGGACGACAGCTCGTTTCGCGTGCTTAACGCGCATCCATTTACTCGCACCCGGTGTGCGAGCTTTTCACCGTCGTTCGCAACAGGCGCACAGCACGTCGCGGGTAACGAGATACGCGTTTCTCCCGTATACGCGTCGCGGTATCAAGAGCTCGTTCCGGTTTTTTGACGATCTCCCTTTTTCCTCGTCGGAGTAATAATCGTCGAGTTGGCATGGGCCCAGCTACACCAACAGGTTAGCATTCCCGTTCGGCTCCGGAAAGCAGAACGGAGATAGGGGGGCCCCTACCGGTCGGTTACCGGGGGGTTGGGTGGTCCTCGCGATTCCGCGGCGTCCCTCTCTCCTCCCTCGATCCCCATGCCCTTTCCATATGCAGCTGCGTCGCACGCGGGCCCCCGGCACCATCTGCCATTAGAGGCTGCACGCGTGCACGCGTCGCGTCGGGCCCCTTTCCCCTCCCCGGCCACGTAATGGTCTCATAACAATACAGAGTGTGCTAAGGTTTCGATTGCTCGCGACGACGGTTTGTCCCGCCTGCCTGCCGACTCGGAATTATAAACAGATACCTACTACCCGAACGACTGATATACGCGAGATTATTGCGATTGTGTTTGACTTCCGATCATTTATTAGAGTAGCGAATAATAGCATTAAGAAATAATGCAAACAAATAGAGTAAGACGAAAGTTTTATGAGAAATTAATCATGTTTGTCAAGTAAGCAAAGAGAAAGAGATTTATTGATAACATTTTTTTTTACCTACTTATTTTTTAACCGATAATTTGTTATAAGATTTCAAAGAATCCGCTTAGTTTCATTTGCGAAATGCTTCTCTGGGAGTTGATATATGTATAGCACGTATATGTTGAATAAAATGAGGCATTTATGCAACTTATACGCATATACATAAATGGGCGCGGCAAAGTCTACGAAATCGCTTTCAGCGTATTCTTGCATTTCACGTGCGCGTACGATTTCGCAGAGAGAGCTGCGCGAAAATTAGCATGACGAAGGGCGAGAATAAAGGGGGTGCGAGCGTGACAGAGAGACGACACGCGACATAAGGGGTGTAACAATAGTCGAGGTGATGATCCTGCGTCTGTAGCGCACGGGCGTGGCTCCGGGCGGTTTCGAAAAAAAGCTTCGTCCTCAGCCGTGCAATAACAGACCGGCTTTATAAAAAAAGCTTGCTTTTTTCATTGTAGCCTGGCACGCTATTCAATACGAGACATTGAACGGGGCAGATGTGAGAGTGGGAAATGTAATAGCGAGCGGTATTAGTGTAGCGGAAAAAAAAAGAATAATGATTAATCGATATGCAAATTTGGTTTCAAAGAATTATAAACGAATATGAACGTATAAATTTTATCTCATGCATGTTGAATTTAATATATCTTTAAATTTATATATCTCAAATAATTATATTTGATATTTTTGTACAAATTGCGGTATACGTTTGTGTTTAGTCGAATTATACATTATTCAGAATTCTGTTTTACGTGAAAGTCAACATTCATTGGAAAGCATCGCTCGTCGTCTACTGCATTTCGTTTTTCGACCACTCGTGTTCTCTATACACGATGCGATCACGCACACAAATTGTACCGGCCATCAGAAGGTAACTGCTAGGCGCTTTTACGGGCTTCGCGCATCTGGCTCTCCGGAAGCGGTTCCGCGTTTAAAAAATTAAAAGTTAAGACCTCTCGTGTCCGCGCACTCTTCCCTGTTTTGTTAGTGCTTCGCTGGAAAATACGTGAAAGGTGCAATGTAGTCGATTTTTTTTCCCTTCAGCGCGTTATCAAGCGATGAATTGAGAAATTAAACAAGGTAGGATTGATATTAAATGTTATCATTTTTTGTACGATACAATTTAGAAATTACTCCATAAATTTTGAATAAAATGAAGAAATTATCAGTCAATAATATTATAT